CACCATGACTTCTAATTACTCTCCTCCTGATATTTATTAACTATGCAAACATGGAACACACTTGATATCCTAACTGCTGCCAATGACAGGTTACAGTTCACAGATGAAAACTGTGTGTATGAATTTAATTTAAACTGTGGGACTAACATGAATCTACAACTCCTCCAAGTCAAAAAAAAAAAAAAAAAACAAGATAAAACAAAAAGCACTCATAGGAGGATGATCATATTGAAGGAGGAGGGAAGACGGGGCCCCCTCCGAAGCCCTGTCTCGATCATTCACTGGAACATACCAACTGTCTGAAAAAAAAAAGACAGTTTACTTGCTTTATGGTACTGCTCCCTTCATTAATTTCCTGATATTCTATGAGGTATTAGACAAAGAGAAAATGTCACACTCTCAGATATTAAAGTCACTGCTCTCACAGACAGGACTTGCTACAGAATCTGTACACTGGGAAGGAAGGTCTGTGCAGACCATTCTTTAGACCATTCCTTTAGCATTCTGAAAGTAATAGGCTCTGATGGGGAGACAGAGGCCAGGCCACTCTGAGAAAAGTGACATTTCACATTGGAAGACGCTTCTCTTGGGGCTGTACAGGGTTCAGAATATGAATGTTTGAAAACAACATTATCTGCTCTGGTGGTCAGAGTCACATGGTGGTGGAGGCTCACGCTGGACAGAGACCACTATCACCGTGGCAGAACAACAGGGAACACTATGCCAAAAGGTAGTATGGTGCCACCCTAGCAGGCAGTTGTAGAGTTTTTAATGACAAACCACCTTGACAATATATTTAACAATGCTCAAAAGTTCCTTATTATTATATCTAACTATCCTATATCTTTTCCCAAACTTTAAGAGGAAAAAGTAGATTGGAAAGCTGACTGATTGTAACCATAATTGCTAATTTTAGTCTGATGATTCCCAGATCTTAGTCCAAGAACAATGTCACAGGTATTACTATAACAGTCCTGTGAGTCTTACCCCAAAAGCTTATAGATTAACAAGAACGCATACACAGACAGACAGACACACAGACACAGACACACACACACACAGAGAGGGAGAGAGAGAGAGAGAGACAGAGAGAGAGACAGAGAGAGAGAGAGAGAAACTATGATACCAAAGAGGAAAATGACTTTGTAATTTGGAAACTATATATAAAAATAAAGTGAAGTGAAAATGAGACATCTGACAAAAACCAAATGGTCAATGAAAACTGTCGCCATGGGCTGTGATGTAAATGGTTACACTCTTTGAAGGGTAAGTTGTTTTAGCAAATAATATAAATGTTCATAACTGTCAGATTTAAGAATTGCAGTCAGTGAACGCATCCTACCAAAAGTGAGCAGACAGGATCATATATACACATACAACACACACACACACACACACACACAAATGCTTTATGGAAAGTACCATGAACTATATTGTGTTTTAAAGGTACTTCTTTTATGTAAGTAAAATCTTCAATAGAGTTTTCAAAAGAGGACTTTTTTTTAAGTTTTGCTTGGTAAATTTATGATCATTTCATGAAAATAAAATGTAAACCAGATTCATGAAGAAATAATGAGTGCAGTGTTCAGAAGCTGAAACTGGGCCTGGTTTCAAACACAGTGCTGTGGATGTCATCTTGACAGGCTCTCAGTGGAGGAAGATGGGTGGCGCATGAATATACATTTATGAGAACTGGTCAGGTGAGGGACGTGTGGCTTTTCTCTACTGTAAGATGTACAAATAGGATGTCTAGGACACAGCTTATTGGAGACAAGCTGACTGTATCAATAGTGCGCACAATTTACACACACAAACACATACGCACAACATAAGAAGTCTGAAGAATATTTACATACAGAAAAGGAATTCTGTGAATTTGCTTTTCTTATTTTACTTGGATAATTAACAACAAAGCTTTTAAAAATGATTTTAAAATACCATCTTAATTAATAAGCTCACAGGAACAAGAGTATAAAACAAGACAGTGAGGATATTTTTCTCAAAGGAAAATCTAATTAGACATATTCATGGGCTACTCTTTAAAAAACAACTGGCTGTGTCTGCAAAGTGTAGAAAGCAGACATTCTAAAGGATCATTCCTGGCAATGTAAAATCCCTAAGTTAAGCATGAAAACTGGTAAAACTGCTCTGACTGAGAAGGTGCACGCTGTCTTTTCAGCTTCCAGACCTGAGATCAGTGTGGCGGGTGTGACAGCACAGCCGGGGCGGAGACAGCTTGTGCTCAGCAGTGTCTCAAAACGAAGAAAGTCTTTGGAGATCGACCACTTATTACGACATGTTCGCTTTACACTTTATTTTTGTAGTAATGATTGGCTTTCTGTGTGCTGTTTTGGCCTGGCTGGAGATAAGGTTCTTCTCTACAAGATTCTTTGTGTGTATAACAATTATCCTATGTAATTATCTAACATTCCATGGAGGGCAAGAGAGACTGGAAAAGTTGATTCTAATTGGAACCATAGTTCTAGAGTTTTAGTCTGTGAACCCCAAACTCTTTTAGTTCAGGAATATTTCAGTCTAAATACTCATTTTTTAAAGAAGGATTTTATTATAATTTGTTTTGTTTTAAAACCTAAATTAACCAAAAATTCTACCTGATACACATTTAAAATTCCATTACAACTTTAAGGTTATTATTTATTTTCATACTAGAAAAAGAATCAGTAGCAATTATCTTTTTCCTGACCATAACTATTAAAACAATAGAACAGACCTAACTTACAAATGATTTCTTGGGCAGTTTCAGAGATGAAGGTAAAATTCCCCACATTTAGTCCCAAACACAGGCTTTCTGAGTCTTGATGAAGAGTAGTTCACAGACTATACTATATATACATAATTTAGGTTTTTGTGTAACTTACAGTATCATTTCCATAAGTACCTTGTATCATAAACACATCCAAACTGAACAAGGAAAAACAAAAGAAAAAAAATGGGATGAAGTGGTCATGCATTTGAGTCAACTGATAATGAAATATTGAAAAATAAAACAAAAACGAACCAAAAAAACTAATAAGAACACAACAGAGCAACTGTGGACAAGAAACAGAAACAGAACTTCATACATACTATTTTCTTCAAAGTAGGATTGCTTTTCTATATATAAATATGCAAATAATGCAAATAAATATAAATAATACAAAACCCTCACTGCGATCACCCTGCCTCAAAACTTCCAGTGCTTTTACCTAAATTCTTTACTATGAACCTAGGAATTGCACATTAACTATAAAACCTTGAAGGTGTAGTGGCTGTCTCCACTCCTTGTGTTTATTGTTGGGTGCTTTCAGTTTCCCTCTTCTAGAGACTGGGTACAAAGGACTGAATCTGGGCTCTCAACAGATGCTAGGAAAGCTGCTCAGTAATCTGTTGCTGAGCTATATATAAAAATTATCTTCACTTTTTGCTTGCTTGCTTGTTTTTGCAGATAGGGTCCCTCTGATTCTCCTAGTCTGGCCCTGAGCTTACTCCATAGCCCAAGCAATTCTGAGTAGCTATTGATTAGAGGCCTGTGCCAACAGGTCCAGCTTTTCCCCTGGAGAGACCAAGTTTTTATTTTCTAGAATATAAGAGATAGATTTGCTTTTAAGAGGCATGATCCAAATCCATGAAATCAGAACACAAGTGACATCAGCCCCTGTTCAGAGTAGTGACCTGAGGCCGTGCCTGTACTAATTCCGTGTGGACATCAATCTACAACCTCGGCTTTAACACTGATACAGTCAGATTTTTTTTATAGTGTCTCATATTTCCCAATAATTCACCATGAAACAGGTTTCTAATGCTATCCTACTTCTTAAGCTAAGTGGGCTCAGGTAATCAAGACCTAGGTTCCCAAGGGAGGACTAGGTAGAGTAGGCTCATTTAATTCAAGCCTTCAGTCACAAAGCAACACCTACGTGACGTAGGCTCAAGTAATTCAAGGCCTCATTTAGTAAGGAAACTCTAGGCAGTGTGGGTTCAGGTAATCAAGATCTCAGTTACTAAGGAAATGCTGCACCGAGTGGGCTAAGGTAACCAACAACTCCTTTACAGTGGAAAACTAGAATGGGCCTGGACTTTTGCTGATCATGCCCAGATGAAATCTTTGACTGATGCTGAAGAGGAGAAAATAGTAAAAATGAAATTTTGAGAAATTAAACATTTAAATTACTAAAGTATTATTTAAGACATACTTAAAATCTGTGATCATGGGTAAGTGGGACATACGACGAGGGTTCCAGCTAAGGACCTGAGTAACACAAATTATAAAACCGTAGTGCTTGCAACCACAGAAGTTCGCACATTGCCTTCAGTGCCCTGGAAAATGTAGTATTTTGTCAGCACACATCGCTCATATACAGACGCACTACAACCTCACAGCATGCATATTCTTCAGTGAGAAAAATGACTGAAAATTATTTAGCAAGTATGTATTTTACCAACTGCACAATGCATTTGACTTTAGGTAATTAGAATTCTTAATGGGCAAATGCCCCATCCTTCCACCTTCCACATAAAATATAAGCAAAAAATAAACTAAGTCATGATGACAGAAACAAAAGCATCGTCCATGGCTAAACACGGGAAGCACGTCAAGAACATTCCCAACACTGTGCCTTCTGCCCATGTGTGTTCTCAGTAGCATCAACTCTGCCACGAATTACAAAGTCATTATTGAATGGACCTCGGTGTGGCAAGCAGTTCATGTTTTGAAAAGCTATCCTTTAAAGCAGTTACATAATCTAGAAATAGGTATAAAATATGTGAAGAGAAGATATTTCCATGTGATTTAAATTCTCTAAAATGTGAAGCCTGAAAGATGGATGTGCTCTGTGTGTACATTTATGAGTGTTGCTCATTTGTCATGGTCATTTCAGCAGGTAGCCCCCACCCTCCAGGATGGATCATTCACCTTGCAAGACCACCTGGGGTATCTTGGTGACACTATATTCATAAATTTCAACCCTCTAACCAGCACATGAAAGCTCATAGGTACTCACCCTGCAAACTGGGCACTGCCAGTGACTACTGCTGTCTCTAAGCCTGAACTCATCAGACAAACACTTGGAATGATACACACGAAAACACAGGTCACATATCAACACCTCTCCAGGCAAATGGCATTCAAAACAATACCAGTCATGAGTTTCTGTTTCCCAGTCCTACAAAAAATACAAAATAATTTCGTATGACATTTTGTCAATATCTTCAATAACTAACAACAAAATTGAAACTAAAAGTCCATCACAAGTTAGGCATTATAAACAGTTTAAGACATTTAATGTGTAAAACAAGAGAGAAAATACCTAGAAATTTACTTCTTTAAATTTTGGATTCTCTCCTATGTAGTATCAATAGTCAGAGATACCTTAAGGTGATCTGATAGCAAACACCTCCAAAGTGATTTATGTCCAAAGCCAATCCCAGGTCTAGTATTATCTTTCATTTAAAACTACAATTTAAGAAACAGTGTCTTTTGTAAGCTAAGTGTCCCACACCAACGGCAGCTTAATATTTCAAACAGACAAACCTGTGTTTTGTCCTGATTTTACAGATTACAAAGGGAATGCTGACATACTGCGGGGACAGGGTGCACAGTCTCGCGTGGTAGAGCTCACTGTGCTTGTCTCTCATCCACAGTATTTGATGCTTAACTGAAAATAACAACTAATCAAAATGCCCATGTCCCGACAGGTCGCCAAATATTCAGGGTTATTCAGGGTCTGTTAAATTTAGAAAAATAAATTGAAAATGTGAAACTAAAGGTTTAGTCACACTATCTGATAGAGGTTGATTACCATATGAAACAAAAGAAAGCAGGCTCCATTCTTGATGTGGCTAGTTTTAGCAATCAAAGAACACAGAGTTGCACGGGCATTCTTCAACAGGTTTCATTAGTGAGGTTTCTGTACAGCCAAGGCAAGTGGGTGAAGTATAGACAGGAAGACTCATTTGCTTTTAGCTTAGAATTCATTCTTTATAAATGTTACCCTTCACTTATTCTAAAATATACTTCAGAGTAAAGGTTAACTCAACCTGTTTTGGAGATGTGGGAGCCAAATGAACAAAAGGAAAACTGTAACAACACCAAGACTACTTTCAGTAGGGATCCTGACATCCCACATTTGGGTTCAGCTATTAATTGTTTTTATGTATATCTGCACTCTTTCCAAAGTTGAGTCATTTTCAACTCAAAGTTGAATCCAAGGCTTCCTCATTTTCTCAGATGCTAATATTATCCCGGCAAATGGGGTTTAAACTAGCACTCAATAAGAATTGACTACATCAACCACATTTGAATGCCACCATCCACTCACTAAGAGTGTAGTCACTAATATTCACAATGTTATGTCCTCCAACGCACATCCTGAGCCATGGCGAAGGCAGAGTAGTCAATTCTGTAGAAATCTAAACTTTCTGGATTTATGTTTCATTAAAAAATTGATGGTCTTCACTGACCGAACAATAATGTAAAGTAGGAGCATTTCCAGTTCCTCACTGCAGCTGTGTATTTCCCTGCAAACTCGTCTGATGGAGTAATCCATGTGGACCGCAGTCAGGAAGTACTCATTTTACATAAAACTCAGAAAAACAACTACACTACCAAGTTTGACTGAGATACACTAAAGACATGTATGTGAACTTAGCTGAATTAAAATTAAAATGAATCTCATTTCAGATAGACAGTTCATAATACATCATATATTAGCTATTTCATTTTCTAATTCAAAAATTTTAATATAAATAAGCTTCAGAATTCTAGTCTATTTTTAATTAAAGAACTTTTTCTAAGCCTAAAACAAAATATTTTATTCTCATGGCTGTTTGGAAATACTTTAAAGGACATTAATGATTTATATATATATTGGTTAATTAATAGAAACTGCCATTCTTCATGATTTAATTTTTTATTTTAATTCTTCTTCAGTGATGGGTCAAATAGTGGTTGCTGGGATGTTAAAAGGCAGGAAGAACACAGTTCCAGCTTTCCTTCATCGCCTTCCTCTTTCCAATGCACACTCTTACCTACTTATCAAACAGACACTGGGATAAATCTGTCCTTGTTGGGGTACTCAACTCTGCACTTTAAAAAATAATTGCAGGAATGTTAACCATAACTTAAATGAAGCAAAGTACAGAAACTTTTAAAATTAATTTACTAGATATTATTAATTTTTTTTGAACTACTTGCTTTTTGTTTTAAGACATCTTACTAGCAGGCCAGGAACTCACTATGTAGCCCAGGCTGGCCCGGAACCCACAGAGATCTGTCTCGCAAGTGCTAGAATCACAGGTGTGTGTCTTCATAACTGGCTTGGGTATGTTTTCCTTATGCGTATCACTGACTCCATCATCATAAGGGTTAAAGAAGACAATGCTTCTTGTTATTTTAATCATGACAAGAGCTATTCATAACCCAGGAAACATGCAAAAGTCACTGATTCAAAAATCTATTACAATTTTTCAGAGGTATAAACGAGTCATGGACCATGGCCAAGCTGACATCATTCAAATAGGCTGACACACACCTGTCACATATGCCAATAAGCCAAGTCTACATTTGCACCGGATGCCACAGGAAGTCATCAGCTGCTCTGGATACAGTCTAGTTAGCAGCCAAAAGTGTGAAATCCCACTTGGGGACAAGAAAGCCTTTAAAGGGCAAGACCACTGACTGACACTAAGTTCAAAACTGAAGCAGTGCAAAGGTCATACAGTTTTCACACACAAGTCTAGCAAGAGTTAACTTAGCTAACCTAAACAATATAAAACTCTATTACAAAAAGAAAAGCAGAATTAAGGTAAAATAACAGTGCAAAATTAGTTCACCTTGTCTGGGGCTGCTGTCCTGGAGAAAGGCTGCATACTGTAGGCCTTTCAAAATAAAAACAAAATAATCTTGGTCTCTCTACCATAATTTTGCTCATATCAGGTAATATAGAAGGCTAAAGGGATTTCACACATGGTTCATTACTAGAAGTACAACCCATACTACTTGGCAAATAATGCTAACAGAAAAGTCTATCAATGAGCTCATCATTAATGAAAAGAGCGTAGCATGCAAACCTAAGGGTTGTCACTGACTGTAGAAGGTTATGGATAGATAATGAGAAATATCTTAGGGAATGTATGTGCCATGAGATGTACACTCTTGTCAAGAAAATATCTTTCAGCAAATAAAGTCTGTGCCACACATATCTACACAATGCCACAAATGCATATCTGATTGCTCTGAAACAGGATTACACTGAATGTTTTGAAAAATCAGAATAATGAAAGTAAGAGTGGTAAACACAGCATGAAGTTTATACAGGCTGCCCTCAGAGCCTAGGAGCGAAACCTCCCCCATCTAGCAGCAGTCTGATACACTGTTTGGTTAACACGCTGGAGTCAGACTGGTACAAAGCCTGGCCCTGACACTCAAGTCTCTATAATCTTGGGCAGAATGCTTAGCTTTTCTTCATGTCATTTTCTATCTGTAAAATGATTAGTTTCCTGTGTCTTAGTAAGAACCGAATGAGTTCATAGGTACTTAGCGCACAGAGGAGGTCTGCACAGCCTAAGCACTCAGGAGAGGTTAGCTGGTGTTATTATCTATGTATTGCACAAAATAGAACTAAGACACAAATGAATAACATGAGTGCATTTCTCTCCTAGTACTTTAGAATTCATTATCATATCTGATTTTCACATTTCTCTGAGCAACATAGAACAGGAAATATAATTAGCTCCAATGAAGGGATTAAAAAGGAAGCTCAGAAAGATGTTTGGCCATGTACCAAGGGAGAAGTCTGAAGAACTGTTGGGAAATATATTCCAAATTCTGATCAAGTTTCTTCAATAATCAAAAGGCAGTTTTAACTCCCTATGTTTTATACATTACACTGCTAAGCATGTGTATGACAGTGTGCTTTAATGCAAATGCACTGTAAGGTGAGTTCTCTGCCATTCTAGGTTTAATTTAATTCTGTTAACAAATTTAGTTCATCATTTACATGGGAGGATATGATGGTTACAAATTTTAGTGACTTTAAATACTGAAAATAAATTACAATATTGCCTAGTGGAACAGAATTCAGAGAAGGAGAAAGAGCCAAACAGCGGGAACTCATGCGTACAATACACCAACACATGATGAGAAGGATAGAACCCCCAAAACACTAAGCAAATAGAGGCTCTTGACAGAGCCACTTCTCAGTAAGTCGGTTTAAAAATCACAGAGGACTCTAGTGTAACTGAATCGTCAGCACTCATTTACTAGTTAGTAAACAAAGGGTTTTTTACTTCTTTTTGTAACCAAGGTTGGGAATAAATATTTAAATATATGTATATATACATATATGCATATATATAATAGACATACATAAATGACATAAAGATAAAACATTTCAATTTTTAAACACCAGCAGGTGTATCAAAGGTACATTGAAATTTGTGTTGAAGGTATTTAAAACAACGAACTAGTCGGGCAGTGGTGGTGCACACCTTTAACCCAGTACTAAGGAAGCAGAAACAGATGGATCTCTGTGAATTTGAGGCCAGCCTGGTCTACAGAGCGAGTTCTAGGACAGCCAAGGCTACAAAGAAACTCCTGTCACGAAAAACAAAAAAATAAATAATGAATGAACTAATGACAAATATAACTATAACAAAAAAGGGTAAAAATCTAAATTGCTTTAAGAAACTAATTCTTAAATTCATATGCTACATGTATGCAATGTACTGGAATGTCCAGGTTAGCTTGTATTCAGAAGCAGCCTCTTGTTTCCTCAAGAATGAAGCAGGGAAGCCCCTCTTGCTGTGGCTTCAGGCAGTAAGGTCTGTGAGGAACAAGGCCATCAATTCTAGTCCAATGTTTCACCTAAGAGGTGTGAACCTAGTTAAATTTCAAGGTAAATATAAACCAATACTTCCTACAAGCTGGCACTTGATTTGGAAACAACAGATGACAGCAGTCTCTCAAGGTGTCGAGCTCGCCCCACTTGGGTTTGGTATTTTAGCCCATTCACTGCAAACATAATAAGCTCATATCTTTAGAAAATCACAAAATACTTATTTCCATTACTTAGGCTCTTTTTTTAAAGAAAAAAAAGTATAAAAAAATCCTAAAACAATGAGAAGTGAAAAATACAGAGAGAAAAATGTAGAATGCCCCTTTTTA